TTGCGTCAAAAACTCGGACACTCGGATACCTTCGAGCCATCAATCACAAGCGAAAAAGTGTAGGGAATGGCTGCTGACGTCACAAAGGGGGTCGGCCTGAAAACCTTCGTCAAAAACTCGGATACTCGGACACCTTCCAGCCATCAACCACAAGCGAAAAAGTGCAGGGAATGGCTGCTGACGTCACAAAGGGGGTCGACCTGAAAACCTTCGTCAAAAGTTCGGACACTCGGACACCTTCGCGCCATCAATCACAAGCGAAAAAGTGCAGGGCATGTCAGCCGACGTCATAAAGGGGGTCGACCTGAAAACTTTCGTCAAAAACTCGGACACTTGGACACCTTCGCGTCATCAAACACAAGCGAAAAGTGCAAGGAATGGCTGCCGACGTCATATAGGGGGTCGACCTGAAAACTTTTGTCAAAAACTCGGACACTTGGACACCTTCGCGCCATCAAACACAAGCTAAAAGTGCAGGGAATGGCTGCTGACGTCATATAGGGGGTCGACCTGAAAACTCTCGTCAAAAAATCGGACACTTGGACACCTTCGCGCCATCAAACACAAGCGAAAAAGTGCAGGGAATGGCTGCTGAAGTCATCAAAGGGGGTCGACCTGAAAACGTTCATCAAAGAAGCGGAAACTCGGACACCTTCGCGCCATCAATCTCAGTTGACAAACACGAAAAAAAGGAGCAATTGGACGGAGACAATCGGAACCAAAGAGAAAGAAGACGTATCGCCGCTGCCAAGAAAGAACACTCTTCAAAAACACACCACTCAGCTGCTCAGGGACTCTGAGGCTCAGAAATCAGAACTAGACGGTCTGTTCAGTCGTCCTTTGAGTGACGTCTATCTTCAAGGCACGGAACAACTTAGGTAAACAGATGATGATGGGACTCTGATCTGCTTGTTCGCATGCAGTCAACATGCTAAAGGAATGAATGCTCAAATTGCTGCTCGGATGAATGCCAAAGGAACGGATCAACACGCTGGTCAGTCAACGTGTCAACCAGCTCATCAAAGCGACAGTACGGTCATTCCAGCGCCCCCTAAAAACAAGGAACAAGCTCTCCTTCTCAATCAACCACTAATACTGTTTACAGTGCTGGGATTCTAAGAACCTTTCCAGATCTCCGTGAACTCCTATCAACGGCACGCACGTCCTGCAACCAGACCGATGCACAAAGGGCTTGGGTTCAAGAGGAGTTCAGAAGCTGCATCGGCCAAGAAGACACTTGACTTTGGCGACTCCTCCAAGATGTCAAGGTAAGGCATCACCTGATTCTCCAATCTGGACAAGAAGATTCACGCAAGGATATGAATTTTCACGCCAGCAATCAACGCTGTGTCAAGTGGTTTAGGGACAAGGTCCGCCAGTTAGCTGCTTGTCCCTTAAGTGGGTAGTATTTTTGACGTGGCTCTACGCGGTTGGCTACAACTCTCATCTAAGAGCTGAGGGTCCGCCCCTAGAGGCGAACAAGGAAGCAGCACTCAGCCCACAGTTATCAAACACAGAAAGGCCAAAGAAGAGACGGCCAGAAACCAAGCGCATGCAAGCCGAAGGCAAGACTGGGTCTGAAGCACGCGACGCATATAAGGTCGGACAGAAGCAGAACGGGCCCGTGAGCTGTTGAACCAGCATGCGCAAACAACTGTATGCTAATGAAGCAAGGTACATAATTCATGGCCGGTACCCGGCCGGTCCCGAAGTCCATGCACGAAATTGTACACTCAACGGACACTGATCGGTATCCCCCGCAATCAATGCAGAGTCATTCAATTCGTAAAGTGTCAATTGCGCAGTGCAACGGATGGGGGTTTGCATGCACGCTTTAATAGCCCATCGATCTCCTTTTGCCGTACCGTACGTTTTACCGTCGAGCCCGGTCCTGCATGGCAAACATGCATGTCGATGGGCGGGCGCGCGGCGCACACCGCCGCATACAACGCTGATTTTCCACATTTCTATGGGTTCCAGGGTTCAAACAGGACTGGACAATGGTTGTCATATTCTTATTGCATGATTGCCCGTTGCCATGAGTCTGCATGGTGTAGCCAAGTGTTCCATCGCTTAGATACTGTGAAGCAAGTGCTCGTCATGTTCTTGTCGCATGACTGCCCCTTGCTTTGCATCTGGGTGCCACTTGTGGTGAGGATTGAGGCTAGAAGTATACCTCGCCACCTCATGAAGACCAGCCCAGTCGAAGTCAATGAATCTAATTGCCCACCCCTCCCCTGATCGGCAAACCATGATGTTGGGTCCGCGCGCATCCCCATGCACAACGATCCCCGTCTTTGACCCAACGGTCACAGTCAGCTTGTGAGCTCGGGCAAGGGCCTCCTTCGCGGCCTCCTTGACCTCCTGCCGCTCCTCTCCGGCCAGCACCTCCAGGGTCGACCATCGATCCCCCAGTCTCTCCATTACAACCGAAGAGCAACCACCAGGCAGCGAATCACAAGCATAGAGCTTCGGAGCTACTTCCGCGTCACTCCACGCCCGGTGCACCTGAGCACAAAAAGTACACAAATCATTATCAAGATCGTGAGGGATGTCAGCTGCTTGCCTACTCAAGAGAAGCGCTCAACATCAAGCAAGAAACGACGTTTGTGAGCTACTAGATTCCCTGCCTGGTACGTTGTCAACGGACCCTCAAAACTGCTGGAAAGAGTCACTTCAAGAACGGGAGACCTTTCAGATCTTAACTTCGCAGAACAAATGTAGAAACGAGCGGAACTTTGCACGACCACAGCCAACTGAATTGGACAACAGGAACGCAGGTCGATCTGCTGAGTTCATGTATGCATCTCGAGAAATTTGACCAGCACAATACCGACCAACCAAGCTTTGCCAAGACTATTCGATACTCCGCAAAAAAACCAACGTTCCAAGAAAAGCATGCACCGTTCCTCACCTCGGCTGGGTATCTCTCGCTGGTGAGCTTGATGACCACGGGCTCCTTGACCCCGTCCCGTACTCTTGTCGCTGCATACACCAATCGGTTCCGTCCTGGGTGCAGCAGCTGCAGTTCTTCAAACCGTTGACCCCAAAGGGGGTACGGCACCAGGTCCCCGACTGCCGCACGCAGGCTGCACAGCGCTCTGGCGTCGCTGGCTGCGGTCTGTACGAAATCGAACCACTTCCGGCAGTCGCTCCCCTCGTACCCTTCGGCCCAAGTTTCAGCGTCCTGCAAGTTGGGCCACGGAAAGGAAAGGGCTGATTGTGCATGGTACATCTCGCAGTTTGATAAGGAATGCTCTGCGGCTTGATGCTCTGACAGGAAGTAATGACAGCAAGTAACATACAGCTCTTGTACCATGTCGCCAGACATGAGTTGGCCAAACGAAGACGGGAAGATGTTTCCGAAGCAGAGTATGCTCCAGTGTGCTTACCAGCTTGATCTGGTCTTTGATCTGGTCTTGGCATGCCTGCATCCAGGACACATCGGGCTGTGCAAACTTTAGGAGGCGTTGTACAAGCCCCCATCCCGCCACGCCAAGCGCCATGAGGACCCTGGCAAGGCTAGCCATGGCTGCTGGCTGACGGAGCGGATCGAATGTCAGGGACAGCAGCGGCGTCAGAGGCTCCAGCACCACCTGGTTACTCTCGAGGCGATACATCGCTGCATGGAAGAAGAACGCAACATGCATGAGCTGCTGACTGCCAGAGTGGCACGAGAGCACCATTTCACCCGCCCGCCTCTACTCACTGCCCATCTGCTCAACAATCGCAAAAGGCTTTGAACATTGGAAGAACACGAGTGTGCCGACGTCACTACTGTAAAAGGATTCACAATGATCACAACAGACCTGAGCAAAAACTTAGGAACCAACACTAGATGACGCGGCGTTCCCACAGCAGACTTAGAGCAGATATCCAAAAACCAGTGGGTGACGAAGCACGGCGAGAACCTACCACTGATATCCAAGTAAGGCCCACACAGCCCGATCTGGAGAGCTGGATGCCCCATCGCCTCCAAGTAGTCATCAGTCTGCGTCCCGTCCCCAATCAGCATCTGGGGACAGATTTCGAACCCAGTCAGTCCAAATTGCAGAGTCAGTCCAGATTGCAGAGTAGCAGAAAAGCACAGGGTTCTGAGACTGGCTCACAGCCTCAAACATGGAGATCGCAAGTGGAGTCAAGAGGTCCATTCTAATGCCCTCCACACATTATGTTGGGTTAGCGCACCTGATAATACCGGAGGCCCTGTATGTGCGGGTCTCCACAGGCCCCCAGCTCGTTCTTGGCCTCCAGAACGATGGCGCACTTGTCCCCACACACGAAGGGCACCGCGAACCTTCCATCGGTGCTTGGCTCGACGCTGCCGGGGCTGGGGCCTGAGGCGGACGCTGATCGACCCGGTAGGACAATCTTCAATCCTGGATAAGTCTCGTTGTGCCACTCCATGTACGCCAGCTGCCGATCCCTCTCCTCGGGGTAAAGCTTCCGCATAAGCGCCAGCAGCTTATGAGCTTGCTGCATGCGATCCGATTAGCATATAAGGGGATGCTAAAGCAGAAGAAATTCAAAGTGACTCCCACAGAAACTTTCTTGGGCAGCTTTCTATTGCTCAGCACATAGTGCACAATGTGGAAGCGTAGTGCGACCAGCAAAGAGCACCCAAGAGCTTGATTCCAGACCTCCTCTTCACAAGGATTGAGCCTGCTGCATTTAGATTCGGGCGCTATGCGGCGAAGCGAGGAGATGACGGTTCCAGTATGATAGCAGAGCAGGGCATGTACATGAGTAGAGGGTGAATTTAGCAGACGAAAGATGCAATCCAACATAAGGCGTGCCTTTTCCGAGTCCATGGCTGCCTAGGACAGCACTCACCTGGAAGTAGAAGGGAGTTGGATTGCCGAAGTCGCGCCAGCAGGCATCCAGAACAATGCCGAATTCAGGAGCCAAGAGGGCCGCTGAGAGGGCACCGCGAACAGGGGCGACAATCGGCCGGCCGGTGATGAAGCACGCCTTGCTCTGTTGAAGCTCATCGGTGTCCGACTGGTGCGGCTTGAGCAGGTACAACTGTGCTCTTTTGATGGACCCAAAGTCACTGGGCCTTTCCTTCACATTCACCCGCTGCCTCTTACTTGGCGGAGCGCCTGGCATCGCATGGATAATCATCATCATGTTACAGTGCAATCTGTGCTACGCTCTTTAGGTGCAGGAGCGACACCGACAGGGAAACACTTCACCTCTTGCAGAATCACTCTGCATGTATGAGCCTCGAAGAAAGTTCACCACATTAGCAGAGTGCAACAAATACTGGAAGGATGGGATGCTGAGAAGAGGACAGGACCATGGTGGAAATCAACATCCAGGCATACACAGGCATACAGACGCTGAATTCATGACTACCAAACCCACCTTGTCCATACAGTTGCTGACGCTGCTGCCGCTGCTCTAGCGTTGACCTTGCTGCAAACAGAAAAACCAAGACTTCATATTATTGCCTGCGGGTTTTCATGCACCTGAACGTGTCAATGATGCAATGACGGCTTTTGGGAGCAATGTTGTATTGGCCTAGTTCGTACAGCTGATGACGTACCTTTCTCTTGATTACGGAGCAGCATGCCCACTTTTGCTGGGAGCAGTCCGCACTTCTCAAGGTCCGTTTCCCGGGCGTCCACAAAATCCCTCACGCCCTCATAGCCGCCCTTGAGCAGAGCAGACAGGTGCTTTAGATGAAAGTCATACAACACCTCCTTCCGATCTGCCAACTCAAGGTACTCCCCAAGGGCCTTGAAGACCTGTGGAGACAGGAAAAGTGTTGCTTATACACTGCCAAGAGGTAGCTTCCAAACCAGCCATCGCTAGCTGTCTTCCAGTTGGCTGAATCAGGAACCAACATCACACAAGGGCAGAAGTCAGATGGATCCAGGAAGTGACAAATGCTTCCTGCTCCCAGGTGTGTTCGTACTTCTTCATGACTACCTGAAAATACCTTCATCACCTGATAACACAGTTTTCAGAGATTGAAAGCCAGACATGGCTTTTCAGTCTCGGATTCATCAAGCTTACAAAGCACAGATCATTAGACCTCCAACCAAAAATACATTGTCCTGGCACTCCATGACGAGTAGGACAGCTTCCTTGAGGTATCCCTCTATGTTGGAGGACTTCGAACCCAATTGTTCAAGGACACACAGCAGCGTGACTTGACTCTCTCTTGGCAGGCTCCAAAACCTTGAAAGCGCTCGGAATTCTGGAGGCCGCACATAAGCCGTGTGACAACAGCACAAAAGTGCCCCAAGATATAAAGGCAAGGTCAGAGGTCCGGCTTTTACACTGACCTGGATCAGAGGCTCCACATCTGTGGTGGAAACGCCCGCATCTTGTAGGTTCTTCTCGGACCAACTCAACCCAGCTTCCAGGCAGAGCTGCTTCCAGTCCATACCCCTCCACGCACTGAGATCCGTCTAAGAATTCGAATCGGTATGAAGACTCAAGCGAAGGGAAGGGCACCAAGGCTAACAAATCCCTACTCTAAATACCTTTCAAAAGCCAGTTTCACGCCAGCTGAAAATCAATGACCTGCAGGAAAGCCAGCCGCTAGTGCTCAATTGGTCTGCAGACAACTTCGCTGGATAGCTCGTGCCATCTTGATTCTTCGCCTCGCCTGCTCATATCATTTCAAGTTGTAACCGAAGCTCCTTGCTGATAGAATGAGGTAAAAGCACGTTGCTCTTTGGGGTTTCTGCGTCTGTCTCTCACATTCAGCCAACCAAGTGGCTGATATTTCTAGGGAACTCGCCTCGATACTCAGGTAGGGAAAGGGGTTCTCAACTCGGTTCTAAGCTCTAAGCTCTCGCACAACTTCTGCCATGGTTCTGGAATTAAAGACTGGATTAAGAGGCGCCTTCGAAGCAACTAGAGAATCTGAGACATGAGAGACCGAGAGTTTAGCTCTGGCCCTATCAGAGTGCTGACTCCTGCACCAATTCTCGGGCACCTATAATAAAGCGCCGTGGTGGAAAACATGGGTCAAATGTTAACCAGATTTTGTTCCAGTCGCGTTGCCCGAATCTGCTTGCTCGGGGCTACTTGCCTCTGTCAATCTGGTCACAATTGACCAAGTTTTGACCCTGTTCTTGACCCTCAAACTGGCGGCCAAAATTGCACATTCCCAAATTAAAGTAATTAACCTACTTAGGCCTGGGTACACTGGCATTGCTTCCGAGTGCCCGGTGATCGGAATGGTTCCATACCGGCTCCGGCTTCAGGTTTCGACCAGTGGTACGACCCTCCCGGACAACATCACACCTTTAGGCTCTGGGGGGTATGACGTGGCGGCCTGGGAGTGGCCCAAATTTAACACCGAACTTCATTTGGTTTGCTGGCACCTCAACAACCTCTGAAACCTCTGCGCCAGTCGCATGGTGCGCGGCGGCCGCCGCGGGGGCGCCGCGGCCGGCCCAGGGCCAGGCCCAGCCGCGCGGGTTTCTTGGTTTCAAGTTAACGTCAGTGTTTGCAGTATCAAGCACCCGGTAGATCCTCTACCGGTTCCCACTTCTGTAGAGGCAAATCCGAGTTTCACCTCTCGGTGCTCCGGCCGGGTGCCGTAGCTCCACAGGGTTAACCAAAAACCCTTTTAGCTTTGGTGGTTCAACTTTGGGGGATCCACCTGTCAGAGGCTGATCAGAAAGGTGGATCCCTGGAATCAAAAATTGAATGTCTCTAGAGCAAGCTGCCAGTGCAAGCAAAAGCCTACAGGTAACTTGGTGCTAGTTGTTGATCAGATCATGGCAGATGAACATCATTTTTCCCCGACCTTTCTTGAACCTTTACATCTTCCAACAAAGCTACGTAGGAGAGCTTGCAAGGGTTGGAAGCGAAGGGCACGAATCCATGCTGATGGATGCAAATGGGGCTTCCGTTCTAGCTGGCATTGTGCATGTTCTTTTACATTTGAAAGGAAGATTTTCAGAGAGCATTCGATAAGTTCTAGAGAGCTACTGAACATGCTTTGATCGCAGCTGCTTGAGAGGTCTCCAGCTCTTCTTTTTGTGAAAGTATCTCTTCAGCGTGCGCGTCAATGTCAACGACCTGACACGAGGCTGCTTCCACCAGCGTAGTAGGCCAGATGGAAATCTAGAAAACTGTTTGCTCAGCAAGTCCCTCATTGAAACAATGGCGAGCGCGCTGCAGGAGCCACAGCCATTGCTTATGGCTTCTAAAGAAAAAGAGCGCAGCTTGTACGACATGATAAGAACTATTTTGAGTCCAGGGTTTGAGGAGAGTAGTTCTAAGTTCGTGATCATTCTGGACGGGTATTGGACGAGTTCACCAGGATTGACAAATGTCATGCCGGTACTTGCCCCAGTGATTGAGAAGGCCGTGCAGGACAAGTGAGTGAATGCTACTGGATGCATTGTGTGACTTGCCCCCTTTCTTTAGAGGTCCTGCAGAAAGCCAGTCATGGCCTTAGGTGTTCAAAACAAGTTGTCAGAGAGGGTCAGATAATCCAATCAGATGAGTGCCATGATTGCCTTAAACTGAGAAGATGTCTTAGAGTACCTTCGGCAAAGAAATATGAGGCAGCTCCCAGTGGGGCTGCAGGCAATGGGATGAAGATTGGCCATCTATGCAAAGAAATGCTTTAACAAAATCCCAGGGTTTTCTTGGTCTCCAAGGATAACTTGACATCCGCAAATGCACATTCTGCAATCAGGCAGTAAACTCTGCATAGCAACAGTCCAGTGGAAGGAAGAATGGAAGTCTAGTTCTTTGCCAAGCTTTGCTGTTTCAGCCAGCTGTATTACATTGGACATGATGGATAATTGTCAAAAATGATGCTCATAATAGCTGTGTCTGAGCTGGCTACATGCTGACTCTTGAAGGTCAGGCTGAAAGACAGGTGTTAAGTCTGTATTATGCTAAAACACTCCAAGAGCTCCCCCCCATTACACCCTCAATACAAGCTGTACGAAGGGCACTGGATGCACAACAAGAAACGGGCCTCAAAAGTCTTTATTATGTGGCACTGTGTTCAGTCAGACCACAAGCTAGCTTTGACCACGAGGGAGACACCAGGATAACAAAAGTCCTCTCAAGGCAAGTTGTTTGGATACTTTGCAGTGAAGCACCTGTCATTGACAGACACAGTCACAAACTCATCCCCCCCAGCAAAGTATTGGCAGACGTCCGCCAGAATGATCTACAGAAGATGGTCGCAGAGATGATAAAGATCGAGAAGGGAAAAGGGCCTAGATCAAGGGCTCCGGTAAGACATCAGTTTCCCTGGATTCTCTTCACAATGTAGAGCACGTTAATCAGGATTCAAGGTTCAAGTTGGGACCTGTTAATTTGCCAAGGCTCCGTTTACTAGTTACGGTTTAATCCACTTATTGATTCTGTTTGCAAAGTTTGTCGTTATCGCCTGAAAGCTCATTTGCTGAGGAGCAAAGACTGGTCGAGGGCTTTTGGCAACATCAAGGCCTAAAATTATTTTGCGGGGCCCCTGTAGGAGAAGCAACAGCAAATGATTCCTGCGTTTGTTGTCTTTGAATGACAACCTTGGAACTCAATTGAGAACCTCGAAATCTAGATCAGAGAATACTCTTCACGTACGGGTACATGGGCCATGTTCAACCACAGCGGTATGCGCCTCTTCCTTTCTGTGAACTTGTCAACAAATATGTAAAAGAAGCAGATTGCCTACTTGAGTTTGATCATGTTGGTCATCTTGTTAACCTTCAGTTGAGTTTCAGTTTTTGTGATCCAAAGACTTGTAATATTCAGTTAGGGAATTGTTTTGCTCCGATACAGCTAGGGAGCCTTTACTCTGGTTAAGCTGACCACGAAAGTCGTTTGTTTGCGTGGCCACGAAAGTGCGTGCACGAATCTCGTCAGAGAGTCTATTACTCTGTCTAGATATGTGAAGTGTGTGGCGCCTTTCCAGGTCGCAGTCTTCAATGCAATTGTGTCTCTAATCTCCCAATTAGCAATGAGCACAATCTTAAGGAGGACCTGTGCCTATCAGTACATTTCTCAGAAAGGGTAGCAGTCAGCTCTCATCTAAGTTTGTTTCTTGAATATCACCTTGCTTTTTAGGAGCCTGGTGGAGGAGTCAGTAAGCGGACGCGAGGTGAAGGAACTCTGTATTTGAGTTGAGCTGTCTTGGCAATTTGTGCACTTGCCAGGACTGCTCACAGGCAAATGGCTCACCCACTAAAATCAAAAGCAAGAAAGGGACGACTTACAAACCTTCCAATAGCTTAGCTTGCGATCCAATTTACAGGTCCTCGACTGTTTTCCGGAGTTCGACGTTCCAGAGGAACACCAGAAGCTGACCCCGGAGGACTACCGAGACAAGACAGAGGCCTATTGGCAGGAGAGAGCGAACTACCGAGAAGCCAAGTACCGGGGCCGCATGCAGGCGCTCAGTAAATGTGAGTGTCACGCTGTTATCGACGCGGTCTTAAAACGCCACCGCAATGACCCGGACGGGCTGGAGGCCCTCAAGGAGGGAATCACTCGGTACTTCCAACAAGAGTTGAGCCTACGCCTCCCCTGCGCAATGATGGCATACTTTGCCGCTCTGAAAGGCACGCAAGAGGGGCAGCCCGAACCCAGTGGGAGCCCCTCCGGGAGCTCAGAGGGGCCACTCTCAGCCACGTCATCAGACGACGGTGTAAACGAGGGGTTTGGGTTTGAGGGGGCCAGAGTAGAGGGTGGTCTAAAGCGCCCGCGACGGGAGGGGCTCGCTCACGCAAGGTTCGAGCTTACCAGATCAATGGGGCTTCCGGGCAGCGGATTGGACGGGCTTCCGGGCGCCGGATTGGGGAGGCTTTCGGGCAGCGGATTGGAGGGGCCTTTGGGCAGCGGATTGGAGGGGCCTTTGGGCAGCGGATTTGAGGGGCCTTCGGGCAGCGTAGTAAAGGGGCTTCCGAGCAGCGGACTTGAGGGACTTCCGAGCAGCGGATTTGAGGGGCTTCCGAGCGCCGGAATGGAGGGGCTTCCGGGCGCCGGAATGGAGGGGCTTCCGGGCAGCGAATTGGGGTCTCTTCCGGGCAGCAAATTCGGGGGCTATCCGGGCAGCAATTTCGAGGGGTTTCTTGACGGCGGATTGGAGAGTCTT